ATATTTTAAAGTCATAAAACCAAATATACATAGAATCAACAAATCTAAAATGAAATCTTGAAGTGATTATATATTCCTTACCAACTAAAGAAATTGTTGATTAGCAATTTAAATAACGGAAGTTATATCATACTTACATTGGATTTCAACTCATATTCTTTAGTACGAAATTAATCCATTCAACTCGCACTTCATCAAGTTCGGTTTCCGTGTAAGTCTTTTTTCCATTGAATTGCAAGAGGTTATTTACAAACAATTAGATAATATGAAGAAGATGTACAAGTATCATGAATATAATAGTAATAAAAGTATAGAATTTATCTCACATTTTGTTTTCCAGCTGTTTTATTGTCACTCTGATCAGAGTAGGGGACATACTGCTGAGTTTGGTGATCATAAGAATACCAAACCCCATTATAGATTAGAGGACTTGTTGAGATTTCATCATAAGATGGTTTTTCTAGGTGAAAAAAGAAAAACGAGTAATTTACACCGTTCACAAATAGGGGACATATAAGCATGGGTAGGATAGATTGTGAAAAAATCCATTTACATTTCACAAGATATGGAACAATTACTGATACCAAACTCATATCCCTTTCTTTCTTCCACAACTATATCAAATCTAAAGTTCTATCTTAATACCCTGTATTAGTTACTCAGCTAGTTGCTTACCATTATCATGAAACTTCAGACCAAACTCAAGAACAAACAGAAAATACAATCATAGAAACTGAAATCTTAGTTCTTTATTCTATGATGTGAAAGATGCACTTTAAGGAACCATAAATTAATCTCCTATTATGTGAGCCTTCCAATCCATGTTTAATAGTTTCCCTTTCTCATTTTTCCACTTATTTAGTTTTTATTATGTTTTACTTACATGCCTAGAGGATAAGGGAAAAAGAACACACATGGAATTTCACAGCAAATTGATTGTGTTCTTTCTAGTTTTTTTGAAATCTCTCCCTATTCTAATCAAATTCTTTCTTCGCTGATATAATAAAAAAGATGAAAATGTTATCAGAAATTCTTTAGTGTTCCACTTTTTATCAATAAGATCTATCCACTTGGTAGCATCAACATCCTTCGGTGAGTGGTTTCTTGCATACTCCTCCCCGGGCTCTCGATGGTATCTCTAACAGCTAAATAACATAATAAAATATGAATATATGTACAAAGATATACATATCTATGTGTGTATGAATTGAAAGTAACAAGACAAAATATATTTCACAATGCATAAATGTATAGTACCTCATGCTCAAACGAATCATAGGATTCAGTGTCACTGCCATCTTCAGCCTCTGACAGTCGATAATCATCGTCATTTTCCTCAATTGGTATTTGTTTTTCCTTCCTTAATTTCTTATGTTGAACCGCAACCTTCAAACAGGTTGTTATATTCTTCACTCCTAGAGCATTCATTCTCTCATGATTGTTATTAATTGTCTTCATTCTTTGTTTCTCATAGTTCATTACCTTCTTAGTTTCGGTACTTGGTTTGGTCAACTGTTTTTTTGTAGTGTCCATTCTGCCCAACTATAAAGCATAATTGAACATTTTTTTGGTGGATAAGCATAATTGAACATTAGATGTAAAGAAAAGATAATTATATATTTCTATATATAAAGCATAAAGCAACAATAATCTCAACAAGTGGATATGTCATATAAGCTCTAAATCATTGAAATATGGCTAGAGTGAGATGGATGATTTTTGTTTTTACCTTTTACATATCATAGAACAAATTAATTATAAAGCCATCAGACACATAATATAACCAATCAACGATAAACCATGTTAAAAAATCAAATTATAAACAAAAGGAGATAACTTCAATCATACAAATCACAATTTTTTTTAATACTATCTAACTACAATCACATTTTTCTCATAACAAAAAAAAAATTGAAAAAAACAACCATTAAAATAGTAAATAAAAAGATTATTTAGAAGCATTGAACAAACTACAATCACATTTTTCTTTTTGTAAGTGTTTATGTTTATCTAACTTACTTACTTTTTAACAATTTGAGCCAAAAGTTTTTCATTTTTTTATTTTAGTTTGTTTACTTGACAACTGAGATTAAAGAGAAAAAAAAAATGATCCACCATGTTTCTTAAATGCTAAAAAAATCTAGATGAATGAAAAAAAAAATGTTTGAGACCCACAAAAAAACAACCACAATGATGTGGTGTTATATGTGCCAACTTTTGATTTGCTATACACTCAATGACATGGGGTCCAACTCCCTTGTCACATCATTATGGGTGAAAGTTGTTATACACTTAATGACATGGGATCCAATTCCATTGTCACATCATTATGGATGAAAATTGTTATACACTTAATGACATGGGGTTCAACTCATTTTTCACATTATTGTGAGTGAAAGTGTGGGTCTATAACATTGCTGAAACAATAAATTATCATATGTAACTCTCATTTTCTTTTTTTATTATATAAAAGAATAAGTTTCACCAACTATCACTTTTAATAGAAAAAATATTTATTTCTATTTGATTTTAGGAAAAGTTACTTCTTAACTATTGAAATAATTTAAATGATTTTTAAAATATTGATTATTTAAAAATTTGAAAAGAAATGCTTTTAATTTTTATTTTCTAATGATCAACTTTTAAATTGAAAAAACTACACCAAACTAGCCCTTAACACAACTCTTACTGAATCCATCCACATATATTTAGAGGTTAATTAATGTCTCAAATTAACTAAATAAAAAAATAAAAAAGATTGCTACACCATTGTCTCTAGAATATTAGTGAAAGAATAAAAAATAATGTAGAATTGTGGTCATTAATTCCAACTAGGACGAACATTTTCAAGTGCACAATGATATAGAATAAAGCTTTGGACCCCAGTGGGGGTACTGGGGTCCCTTCCCATTGGTCTAAAAAAACAATTTTTTTTTTTTTGTTTTTTTTTTTTTTGAGTTTTCAACTAACCCCAGGCCGACACGTGGTACTGAGAGGTCGCTGGGGTCTGTAGCATTACTGGGATTTTCAGACTTGTTCCATTATAGTATTATGAAAATGATATCCAAAGATGGCCCATATGCTGCCTCACCATCACATCACATATTAAATAATTTGAGAGAGAATGTAAAGAAAGAAACCTTTCCAATCAAGCATACTTTGCATGATGCCAACAAGACTGCCAGTCCTATCCAATTCAGTAAAATGGTTATCCGTAATATTATGCCCATTTCTACTTGGGGCATCCACCCGCATACTACCCGGGATATTGATCTCCAGAACAAACAGACCAAATACTCTTACTGGGACTACATTGATGCCTTTACTCAGGTATTCTACTACCAGAACCCCATCAAGAATCATTCTTGGTTTATCCGTATCACGTCCGATGTTCTCAAAACCGATGTCCCTTCCTGGTTCCTCGTTTGGTGGGATAAATTCGGACTTTCTCTTGACATTTTACCAGTATCAGTAAGAACAGAATTTGATGAATGGCATGTTGCCTATTCCCGGGCCTATTCAATTTTTTTTAATGCTATCTAACTACAATCATATTTTTCTCATAATAAAAAAAATAATTGAAAAAAAGAACCACTAAAATAGTAAATAAAAAGATTATTTAGAGCTATTGAACAAACTACAATCACATTTTTCTTTTTGTGAGTGTTTTTGTTTATCTAACTTCAATCATATTAAAAAATCAAATTATAAACAAAAGAAGATAACTTCAATCATACAAATCACAATTTTGTTAATTCTATCTAACTACAATCATATTTTTCTCATAATAAAAAATAATTGAAAAAAGAACCATTAAAATAGTAAATAAAACGATTATTTAGAAGTATTGAATAAACTACAATCACATGATTCAAAGTCATGAGATCACACACTGCATTTCTTTCTTGTAAAAGGCATCTAAATAGTATAAACATGTATATAAAATTTTGTTCACGTGCATTGTTGTTGCCATTGGACATCCTCAAGCCCACAGGTTTATATATCATCTTTGTATCTACTAGGTCATTTAATTTCTTTCTTGGCTATACATTGAGTATTTTCTAAGTCAAGCTCAAGCATATATATGAACAACATACTGTTTTCTAATCTCACATGACGTTATATTGGTGTGTTCCCTGCTCTAGACTAAATTGATTCCTCTTCGTGATCAACTAGTCCTAAAAAAACTTACAAATCAAATCATATCAAATCAAATAATAAAAAAAAAAACCCCTTAAAAATGAAGTGATGGTGTAAATTTATATCTAATGCGATGTGAACTACAACTAGAAGGAATCTAATTCATACATTTATTTTTGAACTACTTCATTATGCATTTTTTTACTTGCTAGCATAAGATCATCTATATCATTTCCTATATCATTATTTGTCTCATACTCTTTTGACAACTAGTTTTTGATGAAATGATAATATGTAATTGATATAAAATAAAAATAAAAAACAACAGAGAGTAAGGCAGATGAAAATTCTTCCCGATGCTCTATCAATTAATCCACTACAGCCTTCTTTTATTTTTGTTAGTAGTAAATACTAAATAGTAAAAATTGAACCCTAGACCCAATCCCTTCTCTACTGGTATATTTTAAGTTAAATGACAGCTTTGGCAGTTCACTGCTAACTAAGGTTGCAATTATTGAAAATTTCATCTGATCTTACAATGATAAAACCAAACTAAGAAAATAAAACATAGAGAGAAAGTAGGGACAGAAAAAGTTATATATCCTATTAGATGAAGTTATATATCCTTTCACTCATTGACTTTCAATTTGAATTCAGAGTTGATATATCAATAACCTAATTTTGCCACTAAACAGTTAGTCAAATTCACAAATTAACTTTCAATTTGAATTCAGAGTTGATATATCAATAACCTAATTTTGCCACTAAACAGTTAGTCAAATTCACAAATTAACTTTCAATTTGAATTCAGAGTTGATATATCAATAACCTAATTTTGCCACTAAACAGTTAGTCAAATTCACAAATTAACTTTCAATTTGAATTCAGAGTTGATATATCAATAACCTAATTTTGCCCCTAAACCCTCCAAATCATATCAATTAAAGTTCAATTAACCAATAAACCAGAACTCTGAATATCATTTCACATTCAGAACACAATCAAAACATCAAATTAAACTACAAATTGATCAAATTATTCGAAATTTTATGAATCAACATCACACACACGACCACTCTATCAGGATTGAATAATGATTCTTAGAATTGATAATCATTATTCGAAATTAAAGAAACAAAAAAGCAAATATATAACCCTAGAAATTGGGTGAAGATATATATATATATATAGAGAGAGAGAGAGAGAGGAAGAGGCGGAAATACCTGATGTGCGCTGGAGGAGAGACAAATCAAGTAGCTACTGTTTCTCTGTCGCTGGTGGGGAGATGGGTTGTACCGTCGCCGGTTGGGAGGTGGGCTGTGTACCGTCTCCGCGTGAGGAGGTGGGTGCTCGTGTGCGACAGTGGTGGCCGGTGGCCGGTAGGAGGGTCGCTTGAGAGAAGAGAGAGAGAGAAGAGGGATGATGAGAGACATGACTGAGAAAGAGAGAGAGAGGAGGGGACGATGAGAGAGTGAATGGGAGAGGACTGGGAGAGTTGTAGGAATAATTAATAACAATTGGCCACTAATACTTTAGTGGCTAATTCTATTTTTAATCCCTCCAAAATTTGAAATCTCCCTCCAAATATTTTAGGTTCTGTTTGGTTTATATTTCAAAACATTAATTTCATCACTTCTTTAGGCTCTATTTGATTTAGATTTCAAAACATAGTTTCACCACTGATTTGAGTGTGGTATAAATTTAATAAAGGATGCAAAATTTTATCACAGTTAAATTTTTTATTGCAAATTATGAAAACAAAAAAGATTGAAATTTAAAATTTAAGTCTCACAATTTTATCACAATTTTATTTATTTTTTTAATTTATCACAAACTTATTCATGTAACTTTAAACCCCTACTAGAATTGCAAAACTTAGGTGAGCTCAACCCAAGCAACTTTGAATCAAGCTTAAAATTTTTTAAAGATTGAACAACATAGTTTTTAATTAAGTGAAACCTATGCAGAAATTAAAAATTCAAATTAAATTTGAGTGGATTTGGACAGAACACCAAATAACTTGAGCAACCAAAACAAAATTATATATATAAATATATGAACTATTTGCTAGTTTATTTTTTAAATAATAAATAAGATTAATTTAAAATTTAATATTAATGAATAAAAGAAAAAAAGCAATATACTTAAGATTTCCAATAGATATTTTTATTTGAAAATTATTTTTAAAAATATACCTTTTAGAAAGGGTCATTGAATAAAGGGTTGTTTGGGAAGTGCCATACTAGCTCACTTTTTTTTTATAATCTTTTTATCTTTTTTTGTCCATCCACATCTCTACTTTTTCTACACAGTATTTGTTAAAAGTAAAAAAAAAAAATATACTTAATTATCTTTTGGGTCACATTACATCTCTACTTTTTTATACATATTTTCGTAAAAAAGTAAAAAAAGTATGTTTATTTGGCACTTCCCAAACTACCGCTAAGTTGATGTTTAAAAAAATTTACTTTTTATAATGGCATACATAATTTAAATATGATTTTTTAGAAATTCTTTTTAATTTAAAATTACAATAAAATATTAAATAGAATAAAAACAAATTTCTTACAAAATATAAAAGTATTTGAATAAAAAAAGGTTAGAAGGAAATTTAATAAGGTATTTTATTTAATCTGAAAATAATTTTAGGTGAATAATAAATTATCACCTATAACCCTCTTCTCTTTTTTTTAAAAAAAATAAAAAGTTTTAACGAACTATCACTTTAATAAAAAAGAAAAATTAAGGTTTTCTTCTATATTTATTTTAACAAAAAGTAATTTTTTAACAATTTGAGCCCAATATACCTTTGTTCTTTATTTTAATTTCTTTAATTGACATTGAGATAAATAAAATAAATAAAAATCTAATAAAATCCACCATGTTGGTAAATACTAAAAAATTTATGTTTTGTTCTTTTTTTAAAAAAAAATTATATTAAAAAATATTATTGTTCGAGTCCTTATAATTTAGAAGGATATAATTTTTTTTATTAAATTTTAAAAAAAAAAAATTAATAAGCAATAATAATTTGAAACATGTATTTAACATAATTATCTTAGACCAATAATATTATGACACATGTTAAATATTGAACTCATTTAATATGTTTGTTCTTTTTTTTTGGAAAATGCTAGAGGGTCCCAAATTTTCTACCAAATAAATGACCAAATGTCTCACATGGGTGTTGGGGGCCACAAAATTGCGGCCCCACACCATGTGAGACATTTGGTCATTTGTTTGGTAGAAAATTTGGTGTCCCTAGCATTACCCTTTTTTTTTTATGGTTTGTTCTTAATGCATTAAAGTGTTATTATGAGGATAGACTTGGGAGTTGAGAGAGTTATAAAATGTTAAGATTTTTATTTTTTTAAATCAAAAAAAAATCAAGAAATTTATATTATATTAAATGTCTCACCCGTGCTATGCACGGATTGTATTTACAATTATCTATATATGTGAATTGCGATTTTTAATGTCTTTTTTTTATTTATTTTAAATGCCTTCTTTTTTTTCCTTTTTTATATTTATGTTAAAATTCAATATTTGATAAATAATCATATATGTTTGAAACTTTTCAAGAAAATTTCTTTTATACTTGTTCTTAATGCATTAAAAGTGTTATTATGAGGGATAATAATCATATGTGTTGGGACTTTTCAAGGAATTCATATGTGTTGGATTTCAAAGAATTTTTTTATACTTGTTCTTAATACATTAAAGTGTTATTATAAGGGTAAGACTTGGAGTTGGGAGAAGTAAATAAGTGTTAAAGTTTTTTTTTTTTTTTAAAAAATCAAAAAAATCCAAAGGGAAAATTTAGATTATCTCTCTCTG